AGTTCTGTTTGTGACGATATATATATATATATCTCTGTGCCTACGGTTTACCGGGCAGTTCTGTTTGTGACAATATATATATCCGGGCAGTTCTGTTTGTGACGATATATATAGGGTTCAGCCTCCTGATGAGTCGGTGAAACACCGACGAAACAGTTTGTCACAGCCCCTCGTTTGTTGTCCTCTTCTCTCTCTCTGCCTACGGTTTACTGGGCAGTTCTGTTTGTGACGATAACAGTTTGTCACAGCCCCTCGTTTGTTGTCCTCTTCTCCCTCTCTGCCTACGGTTTACCGGGCAGTTCTACTTGACGATATATATCCTCTTCTCCCTCTCTGCCTACGGTTTACCGGGCAGTTCTATTTGACGATATATATATATAGCCTCCTGATGAGTCGGTGAAACTCCGACGAAACAGTTTGTCACAGCCCCTCGTTTGTTGTCCTCTTCTCTCTCTCTGCCTACGGCTTACCGGGCAGTTCTGTTTGTGACGATATATATATACAGGGTTACCTGACCAAACGTTCGGGGGCCAGCCCGGTGGCCCCCGAACGTTCGGGCGTTCGGGTCCCGTTCGGGGGCCGAACACCTCCAGGTTCAGCCCCCGCCAAAAATTGTTTCGGGGCCTAAAAATAAGTTTGTTTCTCTGATTTTTTTTTTTTGTGAGTTCTCTATGATGTAACCTACACGCCTATAAATTTTGAAGCCATTCTACTAAGCCAAAAAAAACATTGAAAATCGTCAAAGATGGGGTTGTCAAAACGTGCTCGCCCACTCACTATTTTGTTTTTTTTCACTTTTAACTTTTTGTTTTCACTTTATTTCGGGGCCTAAAAATTTTTATTATTTTTTGAAAATTTTTTAATGAGTTATTGATTATGTAAACTACATATCTGTAAATTTTCAGGGCATTTGTCAATGCCAAAGGCGCTGTAGAGCGAAGACGTGTAGAAGTCAAAGCTACGGGAATTATTTCACGTAAATCTGTGCATGAACCAATGCAAACAGGATTAAAAGCGGTGGATAGCCTTGTTCAAAGGAAAGCACATCAACCGAGACTCCGTTCGTAGTGGCGAGCGAACGCGGATTAGGCTCTAAATACCATCCAAGCAAATTAGAAAAGATTGGAAAGTCTTGCCAGAGAAGGTGATAGCCCTGCATATTTTGTCCAATGGTTTTCATTTCAAGAAGTAAGTAAAACGCGCGCCGCTCTTGCGTTTTCTTTTATTTACTTCGGCCTCTCACTCAACTCACTCACTCGAAGACTGAACTACGAAGCAAGTAGAATAGAGAGCCGTATGATAGGTGACTATCTCGTACGGTTCGGAGAGGACTCGAGTACCGCTGGCATGTTTTGCTTAGTGGGGAAGTTTCACTCTATTGAATATACAAGGAATTGAAGGTAGTATTTTACTCATGTTGTATTTGTTCCAGCACTCACTCCGCTCGCCAGAGCAGACGCGACGAGTTACCAATTACTCTATCCCGCGCGCGTAGTATTAGTATGGCTCTTCTTTGCGCAAGAAATTGATAGGTCCGGGCTTGAACCATGTCTCCCAAAATAAATCAGTACATATGGCGTAAGACGATTTCACGGATCGAGGTCAGAATGGGATCGGGTGTTTTTAATGTAATTTCACCATTTATTATATTGGATTGATTTATTTTAAAAATTTTTATAATTTATCATATCACAATTAATTTTAACAATATCATTTTTATTGTGAATTCAATTAGATTCTCTATTTAATTGATTCTTATAGAACTATTTAGATAATAAAGAAGAATTTGAACGATATATGTGGGACGAAATCATATGTGGGACGAAATGTATTTGATCCATATATTAAGACCTTTCACAGGGATGGGATAATGAATTCTTTGTTGTAACCTCTGCGCTCCTGTTCTTATTTGAAGACGTTGATATCGAAGAGATCTTGTGGCACCCACCACTACGTGGGCACCTAAGAGTTCTGGCCAGAGCGATCAGACTACAGCGATTTATCTATCGCTGTAGTCCTCCAGAGGCCTGTTTATTTAAATAAACTGTGCCCCCATTTCTAGACTTCCTTCCTTGCTGATTGTCCGCACCGACGCATTCATTATTGGATACTCGGCGGAGGTTTCAGCATATAGCCTAAAAATTGGCAAAGATGGCGGTGTCGAAAAGGTGCTGGCACACTCACTCATTTTAATTCTCTTTTTATTTTTTCTAATTTTTATCATAGTGTTTATTTTCTGTATTTGATTTTTAATTCAAATTTGGTAAGGAATTTGGATGTAGTGCCCAGGCAAATGTTGTTTAGTTTTTCTCCATAACAGTGTTTTTTTTTCGGAATTTTTTGAAACTTGTTTTTTTTTTTTTTTTAGGTCCGCGTTCGGCCCGAACGGTCAAACGCCTTCCGAAGGGGTCCTGTACGTTCGGGCGTTCGGGTTCTCGGGCGTTCGGCCCGTCCCGAACGCCGGCAACCCTGTATATATAGAGTTTTCCATCTGGTGTGGGTGAGTGATAGTCTACTTTGATTTTGGTTAAGGTAGATTATCATTTACAGTGTAATCAGTGAGGGGATTCTGCAGACTGTTGAGGGTTCAGC